CAACCATGAAATAAACACTATCCCTTCTGTCCGGGGCTCAGACAAGTCAAACAGGCCTCTTCAAAACCGGCCGAGTTTCTCCACGGTGCTGTCAGGTCACAGTGTTTCCAGAACTGTGGGCTTGTTAGGGTTTGCAGTTTCTTGTTGTGGTTGTATTTGGAAGAGCATTCAGCAGGAACCTAAGTAAGAGCAACTTACTCCTGGTGAGTTGGGGCTGTACAAAGGCGATGGCGGCACCGTCCTCGTGGAGTCCCAGGAGGTTTGTTGAGCTGACTTCCTGCTGCACCTGGGAAAAAAACCCACATCCAACTGCGGACTACAAGGATCTGTGTGGTCCACAGAAGTCTGTGCTGTGTACAGGGACCTGTGATCCACAAGGACCTAGGGAGTCTACAGGACCTGTGCCGTCCTCAGGGACATGGGATCTTCAAGGACCTATGGGGTCAACAGGGCCCTCTGCGGTCTACAGGGTCCCGTTATCTCCTTGGAAACGCAATTGGCCAGTAAGAGGTTGGACCATTTGATTTTACAATGCAAGACCGAGGGCCTCTGGCCCTGGAACTAGGAACACAAAGCCCAGCACAGCTCAGAGGCCCCTCAGGGGACGTGCACTCACCACTCAGCGAGAGGAGGGAAGCTCTCACTGATCTTGCCCCACGTTCCTGCACACATTCGGGTGAGAGTCTGTCCTCCCGCCACAGTCCCCAGCCCTGCCTTACACTCATGCAGTGTGATAACGGTCCTGACGCCAAGTCTCGCTCTCTTGCCCGCTGGAGCGGGAGGGCCTTCCGTCGGCAGCATTGTTTTATATCCACAACTCACATGTTCATTTATATCTGTATGATCATCACGACTCTACCTTTTACAAATTTTTTCAACAAAACTCTCTGGAGGGGACTCTGAAATGAGAACTCATGCCCACCCTGCAAAAGTGACCATGCCAGAAAGACCCAAGAGGACTGGGACTCCTGCCTGAATTCTCCTTCCTCTGTGAAGTCTAGAGAACTGAGTGCTGTTCTTTTCCTAGTAAGTAAACGTCTGTTTGTGTGCCTGTGTGTGCACACGTGCATGGGTGGGTGCATGTGCACACAAGCATGTGTAACGTGCATGTGCATGTGCATATGCAAAGAACATACCACTCCTCACGCAGCCCCTGAACCGAGTCTTCAGCCGCCCTATGCCTCAGTGTCTTCATCTGGGAATTGGGGATAATAAGAGTTGATGAGGGTTAGACAGAGAATTCACATAAGATCCACGTAGGTGCCTAACACATAGTAATTGCTTCACAAATAGTTATTATTAACAGCTCACGTCCACAGAGCTGATCCTACTTCATGAAAATTGGTTAGAAATACCTCTCATTCATAGATTCGTTAACTGAAAAAATATTTTGGGGGCAGCTGGCACAGGAGTAATGCTTCCTTACTCTACAAGTTATAGCCTAAATCCAGGTTGTGACTAATTAGGTTATATTTTATTAACTATTAAATCTACATCAAAAAGCATCTAAAGCATATGAGTGAGGCGCAGTGGAAACCACAGACCCAAATGCCCAAAGTCCAGCTCGGGAAACAGCATCTCGCTCTTGGGAGCCCCACGTGCACCTAAGAATGCATTTGCCCCTCCCCCACAGAGGCAACCATGGCCCTAAATTTGGGGGTGTCTCAATCCTTGGCGTTTTTTCCCCTAGCTCTTACCACACAATGTATGTATTCCTAAACAAGATGTTGTTTAGTTTTGCCTGTTTTCAAGCTTTCTATAAATGGAATCATGATGTATGTATTATTCTACAATTTTCCTTTTTCACATAAAATTATCTCTGTGAGCTCCTTCGGCACTGATGAATGAAGCTGCAATACATCTATTTTCATGGACTGCATCGTCCGAGTACACCAAACTGTATGCATCCATTCCCTGGCACGTGGATAGTTCCAGGCGGGGAGGGGGCAGGCTTTTGTATGGAGGACATGCTTGTGCACATCTCCTGGGGCTCATGAGCACATCCTCTCCAGGCCACAGGTCCCGCAGGTGGGGATCCCAGGCTACAGACACCCGGCTTGAAACCATGAATTAGTGCTATCATTAACAATCAACATATGGGAGACACATACTGACTTTTCTAAAATATTTCACTATTCCTAATGCCATTTATAGGAACAAAGCGTCCTTCTCTCTGCTTCTGCTCAGGGTGGCATGGTTACCAGTGTGATGAGACTGGACCAGAGGGAGAAGCGGTGGGGAGGCAGCCAGTGGGGAGTCAGCACTAAGAGGTGACACGCTCCCTCCAGGATTCCGCGTCCAGCCCTGAGCTCTCTGCAGGAGAGCGCCACCAGCTTCAGTGCGAACTCTTGAATACCCCACCGGTGACTTCCTTGCTTCCCGATTTCCAAAGCGCTCAACAATTAAAGTCTGGAGCCGTACTGAGCCCTTCACTTCAGGATCATGCCAGAAGAAAACGCGGGGGGAAATGGCTGACACCGGTTTTCGAAATCCAGGGTGGTTAGTTCCAACAGAGCAAACTTGATTATGTCCCTAATTCTCTCTGACTTGCTGGAAGTACCAAGAGTGGACTGTGCCAGTGTCACTCTATTCCTGCTCACTGGCAGCACGGGAAGTGAAGAGACATGGGGACCAGGCCAAGGAACTCAGTGTGGGGTGGCTGTGCAGGGAGAGGGAGAGATCGGTCTTTGGAGGCATCTTGAGGAATCCGGGTAACACACGTTTGAGGATGTTCCCAATGTCAGCTCTGGAGTCACCTTGGGAACCAAACTAATCCCACAGTTTCAGTTGTCATGGCATAAATATAATCATGATTTTTATCGCATCAGAAGAAACTTTGTTCAGCCGTTGTTCCCTGTGTCAGGCACTGTTCGATCCCCACATGGCCCTCACTAGCCTCACAACCCCTCGAGTGACATGCCCTTCCTCCTGCGTCCAGCAGAGAGCAGCACAGGCCCACTGGGCCCCTTCCCGTGGCCTTGCATCTGTGAAAACTGATCAGCAGGAGTCATGTTACCTCTGCACACCCCACCTGTCAGGGAGCAGGTTCCAGGATGGCCCCCATCAGTGGAGGGTCAAGGACAGCCAAGCAGGGGGAGACTTCCAGGCACGGCAGAGACAGCACCTACAGGGAACCAGTCCTTCTCTTGCTGGTAACAGCTTTCAATGCTATTAACTGCCCAGTTTCTGCATTCCCAGGAAGTGGCGGGGGACCCCATCAGCCACACTTGCATGTGAGGGGTACAAAAAGGACCAGCCTGCCAGTCCCTCACAGCTGGAGTGATGGGCCCAATCTGCATCCTTAGCCCGGCCTGGGGCCTGGCGACAACAGACACTGGTGACCCACTGTCTATGGCACAGTGACTCCCAGCCAGGGTATGTAGGCTGCAGGAGCCACACGTTCGGTAGGCCAGGCCAGCTCAGAGGCCAGAGGCTGTGGGGAGACTGACCCACTGAGGATGTGAGCCGAGGTTTGGTCTGATGAACCAACCTGCACCCAGAGGGGCCAGGTGACATCCAGCGGAAGTCTGTGGTACTCAGGAATTTGGGGGCAGACGGGAGCACGGCAACAATAGCCTGGGGACAGAGGCACAAGTCCTGCTCCTACAGCTTGCGCCAGGGTTAAAGCCTGCCAAGCGCACATTCCAGCACCTGCCAGCCTCCCTGGGGGCTGCAGTTGGACCCCTGCCCTCTAGCTGCTTCCTCCTGGACAGCCTCACATTCAAGGTGCAGCAAATAATCACTCGAGAGTGCCCAGGGAGAAGCTTCGAATGATACATTCTCCACAGAGGGAGCCAAAACTACAGCCTCCAGCGCATGGGAAGGTGGGAGGGGAGGAGGATCTCTTGCTCTCAGCATCTGAACGGGTGCCCAGGCTCAGTACATACTGAATGACTCGATTAGCAACCCTCAATTTGGGGTGAAGCTCAGAATCTCTGGGAAGGGGCTTTTTGAAAAGTGCATTGACTATATACATTCATCAACACCATGGTCCCAACATGCTTCCTGGTGCCCCGCAGTCACGTAACTCACTGCCATGCAGAGCTGAGCAGCACAAGTGCAGGCCTCAGTGCAGATAGGAACAACCTACCTGGAGTATTCAAAACAATCGGATACCAGAGATTGGCCACGCTGACATAAATGTTGAGAAGTCAACTGCAGCAATCCAGAAGTCAGAGACGCCCCAAGACCCAACAACTGCTGGGCTGGGGGGAGCTGAGGACACCCCAGAAGTGGTGGCTCCCACACTCACCTGAGACAGGAGAGGACCCTGGATTCTCCCTTCCACCCACCCTCCAGTCTCCCAGCTGGGCCCACTCAATGACTGACCCCAGAAGGAAGCCAAGGAACATGGCAGCTGGGAGCACAGCCTGTAGAGGCAGCGCAAGGCCAGGAGTGAGCGGACCTGAGGTCAACGAGCCATGGGCAGACACGCAGAACCACCTGTCTTGGACCCAGGGCTGCATCACTGCCACGCACAAGGAGTCGGACCCAGATCCATGTGGCTAGCATGGTGGAGAACAGACAGGGAATTACTGTAGTATGACTAGGCTGATGGAGAAATTTCCAAAAGCATGGCTGAATGTGACTTGGGAATTGCATGTGTATATCTATATATATGCATATTCGGGTGTGCATTTATGTCTCAAACTCCTGATATCTGCCTCCCCAGTTTTCAGTGGTATCTCATTACACGTGGTGTACACAATTCTAAAAATACATCAGGAAATGATTTCTCTGGCACTATAATCAGATTTCTTGCTTAGTGATGTGAAATTTGACAACCAGTAGAATTTAAAAGCCTGAAAATTTTCCCTACAAAATTCAAATATTTAGAGGAATGTTCTTAAAGAAAACCCAAATCAGGCTAATGGGGTTGAAAACGCTCCAATGAAGCTTTAAAAAAATGTCCTGTGTAGTTAAGGCAGGATTCTTTGCCTCTGAAATGCAACCTAATTTCCTAAATTCTAACATAAAGCGTGCACGAAGTCACACAAAAGGAGATTCTGACAATGATTTTATTTGCACCAATTACAACGCTCCCCTTTGAGGCTCAGGGGACGTCAGGCGCCGAGAGGCATTTCTTGATGAAGTGGCCCACGAGCCGCTGAGGCCGCTGCTGGTACTCGGCGAGCACCTCGTGAGGGCTGCTGATCTGGTCCCCTTTCAGGCGGTCGAGGAGAGTGACACACACCACAGCCGCTGCAGAGAGCAAAGGCCACATCAACGCACAGCACAGGGTTTCTAGCTTAGTCCAGAGAGACAGATGAGGTGTCACTGCTGCCGTCCCCACAGGAGAAGGGCCAACAGCGGCATGTTGGTAGATGGAAAACAGAGAAAGCTCAGGCGGCCTTCCAGAAGGCAGGGATTTTAGAAAGCAGAGCTGGAGTTCCTTGTAGGAACTTGGGGGTGGATTAACCCCAAATCAGGAATCCAAAGAGCTTTGAAAGACAGACTCACTAGCAGCAAAACCTGAGCTCAGCTGAGGTGGGTCTTTCGAGCATCTTTCTCATCTCGCCCAGTGGCATGTGCGTCACTGGAGAGACACTGAGAATCTGCATTTGACCGCATGCCAAGCAAAGGTGGGCTGAGCACAGGCGTGAGGGATGCCACCCCATCCAGAAACATGCCTTCGGGGCAGGGTGGGAGGAAGGTAGGTGTTGGTGGTGGGGGGCCCAGGGGGAGGTCCCAGAGAAAGGCATGGAGGCTGAGCCAGCAGGGCAGAAGAAGGGAAGAGGACTGCAGCGACCAAGTGCCCGCCTACCTCGGAGGCCACACGCGCTGCACATGGCAGCAAAGACTGAGGACTCCATCTCAATGTTCCGGATGCCAGCTGCGTAGGCCGCCTTCAAATACTCCTGCTTGTCCTTCTCCGTGTAGAAGCAGAGAGCGCCGTCCAGGCGGCCTTGCCCTGAAGACATGTGGAGAGGTGCTGACATTGACTTGGGTGCACTCACCACATGCACGTAGTAAGCTCCTTCTGCATGCCAACACTGTGCTACCCACCAGGACACAGGGACACTTTTGATCCCTCCAGGCCCCACCTGCCCTGGAGCGCAAATCACCCCCTCAGAAGCAGCGTTACAACCGCAGTGGAAACAATGACGGAGAGGAGTCAGGGGCAGGACGGACAGCCCCACACAGGAGGTCAGGCTGCCGAGGGGAGGCCAGGCCTGCCCCTCTCACCTTCATAGAAGTCCAGCGTGCACATGGTGTTTCCCACGACCGTGGTGAATTCACTCAGGTCTGCAGAGCACTGTGTCAGCTCCTGCACGAGCTGCTCATCGAGGTCCGTGCTCCGAATAACTCGCTTCCCCAGGACCACCTGCTCGAACTCTGGCTTGAAGCAGGCATCCACTGCCTGCCGGGTAATGACCACAGAGCCAGGCTCCAGACCTGAAAGAAGAAACAGATGTCACAGCCACTGGGGACATACAGGGAGGGCGCAGCAAAGCACATGCAGAAAGGAAAATGATCCATCTATGGGCCAAAATAGTGAAGCATCAGTAACATTCTAAAAAGAACTAGGTAAGGATCCATTTCCTGCATCAAATGTTTTCTTCTGATGATAAAAGTAATTAATGCGTAAGCATTGCAGAAAATACAGAAGAGAAAAGTGCAAAGAAGAAAGAGAAAATTGCCAGGAAGCTGCCCATCTCATGCTAAGTGTTTTATGACTTCCAGTCATTGCCATTTTTAACTGTCTGGCCCTCCATTACCAGAACGTGTTTAATTGGTCCCTGTTTTGTACCTTTTTATTATTTAAGATTGCAAATAAATATAAAAGTAGACACTAATACTATAATGAATCCCCATACACCCCAAACCCAGCTCCAACAATTACCACCTACTGACCAATCCCATTTTCCTCTGGGATTGACGCATTACTGGGTTCCAGGCATACCTCCCTGAGCATGTTCACGTTTGTAGGGACATTGTTCTGCTCCTTGTTCTTTAGTCTCATAATAACTTTGAATGGGATGTGGCCATGAGCCTTTCCTGATACTTATTTTAATGTGAAATTCGTTTTCCTAAACATCTAGGAAGGAGGAAGAAGTCAGGGGATCTATTCTAGAGCCCACGTGGCTCCAGTGAGACATAAGGAATGTGGCGGAGTGCTAGGATCTGGCTCTGAATGGCTCCCCCAGGAATCTGTGTCTGGATTTTCTCTCTTGCCATTTTGGTCCCTGTCTGGTCAACTCAGATTCTCCTCTCAGCAGGTTCTCCCCACACTGAGGCTGGACCTGGAAGAAAGCTCAGGCTGACAGCTTTCATGAATTCAGAGGGCCCAGAATGTTCAAGCCCCTTCTGATGTTAGCATCACCCTCAAATCAGAGCATGCAAACCCCCTCCCTCCCAGTGTCAGCTGCTGCTCCTAACACAGGCCCCACACCTTACTAGGGGTACCTGTTGGCTATTTTGGGATTCCTCTGTTCTCATGTCCATCAGAAACCCTGCAGCCACCTCGTGCTTCCTCTTGAGTGGGTGCCATTCCACCCACTCACCATTCCTATTTTGAGATTTGTGGGGATGCTGTGTCACACTTTGTCATCAATGATGTCTAAGGGTCTGGGGTTTGGCTCTCTAACTGATCTGTCCATTTTTATGGGGCAATTTCAGGGGACTCAAAATCTACACTATTCCCTCTAGAATTCTCTGATGATCAATTTTAAAAATCTCTCCAAAGCAAGAACTCGGGAATGATTTGCTAGAGTTCTTGGCAGACGCTTGCATGAGTGCACGGCCGTGAGTGTCCATCTGGTCGATGGCATCAGAGACTAAGTCCTCAGGACCCAGACAGCTCACGGGCATTGGTATGTTTTCCCAGGAACAACTTCTTTAAACATTGAATTATAACCTGCAAACACAGATTTTACATACCAGTCTGTCTACATAATGAAACAAAAGAATGAGATAATATATCCAGAAGATTTGGGGTCTCCAGCAATCCCCTCTCATAGTCAGAAAACCTAAATTCTAGAATTACCATAAATCCAGGAGAGGCCAGGCCCAGACAGTTAGAAACAAATGGGCACAGGCTGGGCCACTAACAGCAAGGCCACTGCAGGCACCTTCCAGCAGCTCCAAGCTCCTGGGTGGGAGCAAGAATTGCTAGGACCCAGTTTTCAGCAGAAAGGCTGGCACAGAATTGGGATGTCAGAGAACAGGACAACTTACGTAAGATGAATTTGCCGAACAGACTTTGGCTTAAAACTCAACACAACTTCCAGCATTTTGCTTTCTCACTGCATCCTATTCTTTCTTTGGTGTCTTTGTGGTGTTAAAAACAAAACAAAACAAAACCATGTTGAGGGCTGGGGACTTTTTAGGCAACTTTAAGGACACTTATCTCAATTTTGCTTTCCATCTCTCTCTTCCCCTTTGATTTTCCTGTCGGTTTTCTCACAAGGTGCTTCAAATCCTTGCAGGAATAAGGAGGAGAAGTGAGCAAAGGAAAGGAGAAAGGCAGAAAAGAGGGGATTAGAAAGAATAAGAGAGAGAATCGAGCAACAAGCAGGTGCAGGCTATGACCCAAAGGATGTGTTTCTGCACATGCATGGCCTGGGCCTTTCTGCTATGTGGTTTGGGGTGTGGGTTGGGAGAACGGACTAGACAAAAAAAATGTAACAAAACAAGCTTCTTTTCACATCTCCTGCTCATGCTTCATTGAACAACGCCAAGCAAGAAGCTCTGAGCACCCAGGTCCACCCCACACTGGTCTGCCGCAGGGGGCTCCAGGTCCTCGTCCTCAAGGCTCGCCACGGGCAGGGCCCAGTGCACACTTACCTATCCCACCAGAGGTGCCGATGCGGATGACGGTGACGCCGGAGCACCGGGCATGGTACAGCAGCTTGATGAGCTCGTGCAGCATGATCGCAATGGAAGGAATGCCCATACCGTGCTGGAAGCAGGAAGAAATGCCAAGGTTAAGCCTGAGGTGGTGCCTTTGCGTGTTCTGTGGTGCACTTCAAACTGGCAGTAACAGAAGATGTACTTCAAAATGCACATTTAAAAACCATTAACACTGTGGGAATTATCAAGGTTTGCACAGAGCCGTCAAACAGACGGCCCCATTTGATCCATACATCCCGGGCTGAGGACCGGAGGCTCAGCAAGGGAGCAACAGCCTGCTATTGCTAGGTAACAAACAGCCCCGCTGGTCTTGGAAGCCTTGCCCAAATGCCCACCCCACACACACCTGTTGGGGTTTTGGCTCTTGGCACTCTTCTCCCTGCACTCTCTGCTTCAGCCAAACTAAGTAAGTGGCTGGTCTTCCAGCCTGCTGGACACTGACACCTCCTGGTTCCACCTGTGCCATTTCCTCCCTTTGGAGTCTCTCTGCACCCCACCTCCTGCCCTCCTTCAGAGGCCCTCCCAATGCCACATCCTCCATGACGCCCCTCCTGGGATGCCCTCAGCACTTCAGGTGCTGCTCCTAAGGCAGAGGCACTCCTTTGAGAATGGGTTTGTCAGGGTGTCTTGCATAATTCATGCTTCCATGAATTAGCCGGAACTGAACAACACCTTGGCTCACTGGTATGTTTCAGATGGTGGATGCTGCCAGACGTCTCAGCTGACCAGAGAGACAGGAGTCCTCATCTCAACCACAGGGATAGCCTTAATTCTATGTAGTGACCCAAAGAGGGAAACGAAAAGCTTTTCTGGTAGGATAGCAGACATTTCTTTGTTCACTCATTGCTAAATCAGTGACAAGGAAGTAACTCCATGTGAGGTGGCAGTGTACCTCCTCCTGCGTCCACCCCGAGACCCTCACCGTGTGTACAGAGCTGGGTGTACGTACATGTGTGTCTCCATTTGTGCGTGGTCCCTCCTAGAGACTGCACCCGGAGGGCTGGAGCCACCATCTCTGCAGCCCAACTGTGCGCTCACCTTGCCCCCAGCCTGATGGAGGACACCCGGTCTGTGTGTGTGCGGAGGGCAGGTGGGCAGCTTGCAGAGCCCGAGCACTGAGCCCCCAGGAGGGCAGGTACTCACACTGACAGACAGCACAGGTCCCACTTTAAACATGGCGTAGCGGTCTGTCCCTGCACAGATGTTGGGATAGTCCATTCCTGCGCGGTCAAGGCCCAGCTCTGAGGCCACGTATCTGATGAAGGCTTTCATCCGGGAAGGGCTTCCACCAACACACACAAACTGCAAACAGAGAGCAGAGGTGCCGTCAGTGCAGGTGCAGCACACTGTCTACACAGCAGGGCACTCAAAGTGGGGCCCTCGACCAGCAACAGCAGCATCTCCCAGAACTTGCTGGAAATGAAGTTCCCTGTCCTCATCCCGGACCTGCTGTGTCAGGGGGTCAGTAATGTAAGATTCCTGGTGATTCTGATGCTCACTCGAGTTTGAGAAGCCCTGGTTTATGAAATCACCACCTCATGCAAGAGGCCATGGCAGTGCAGAGCAATCGGCCCCACAAAACGCAGGCAAACCAGACGTTTGCTCTCTCTAAGAAGGTAATTCCAGGTTCCAGGCCTGCCTGCTCTCTGTCACGTGGACAGCAGCTCGCTGTACTGCAGGGAGCCTGGGTTTGGAATACAATGATGCAGGCTCCTCCCTGTGCCACCAGGGCCCGCAGCCCATCTGTAAAAAGGGCCTAACCGCTACCTCTCACCTGGACATCCAAGGGCCAAATGGTCAAGGCATGGAAAGAGTGAGCGGCCCAGTGGGGCCTTGAGAAGTCATGGCTACGGGGGTTGGGGCGCCTCAGAGAAGTAAAACCTTTAATCTGCAAAGTGCCATATATGACAAATTACTTTCATTTTGTTTTATATAAGAAAAACAAGAAAATAAGCCAGTTTTAAGGAGTTTGATGATCAAAGAATTATTAGTCTCTAAATATGAAAAAGAAAATTTCAATAGCCTAGAAAAATTATAGGCCAAACTTAATGGAAGAATGAAAACTGAATAAATTAAGAACACATGGAAAGTTGTGCCACAGTTGAAACCACAAAAGAACACAGTGGCTGATGGGCTGTAACTCTGCCGTGGGGTCTGAGGATCCCACGCAGCACCAAGGGAGTCCAGTGTCACCGCTCTGTTTTGTTTTGAATCTAAGCATCAGTCCATCTTTACCCACAAGAATTAGACATTTTCAATGTCCTGCGTGAGGACAAATCGGAACTGAGGAACTTAAGGCTCTGTAGGGAAAATGGACTGGAAGCCACATTCAGCAAAACAAGCCGTTAAAGGCAATGAACTAGACAGTATCAACATGCATCTTAAATTACAAACAGACACAACATCACTATTCTTACTTATTATCCCTTGATCCTCTAGAAAACATTTGTACCTCCTTTTTCCTTTTCTCTCAATGAAGCATCAGAAAATTTATTTTCTATTGTTTCCTTTATATACTAAATTTGTAAGAGATTAACTAGGGACCAACATGGCTGTAATTACGATAGTTTTCTTTTACTTGCTGGTTTACATACCTGAAAAGTAACAATGTGCAAAACTCTAGTAAACATATAACTTCATGAACTTGTCCTCTGTCACCTCAGCCCTTGGTAAGGACGTCTGCCTGTATCACCTACGAGCAGGCTGATCTTAAGACAAATCCCCAGAATTGAAAGCCCTGCTTTTTACCTTCACGTCCCCAAACATGGCCGGGAAATCATGTGTGGCGGTGCTGAGGTTGAAATGGTAGAGGACATCTTCTTTCATGGTTGCTACATTTGGATTGCAAAGTTTTACGCAGCAGTCACTGTTACAAAACAGGAAAGGAGAAGGATTATAAAACCCGGGTGTCCGGTGGCCAACATCATTACAGAAGTGCCCTGTGTCGGCGAGATGCATGCAGCACATGGCACGGAGGATAAGACAGCCCAGAGCTGAAAAGGCCCCCACATCCCTGTCTCCCGCCTTCCTCCTGTGCCTTCCCCTCAACACCCCTCTTCACACCCACGACCCTTGTCTGGAGGGTGATCAGAAAGAAATCAGAAAAGCACAAAAAAGTACAAAGAGCAAACTGCTACATCACCCCATATAAGGAGTATAGAGCCAGTTGCGACTCAAGTTCATGCAACACATAAACTTGACTTTATTTTAAAAGTAATACATTCACCGGGGCTGGCCCCGTGGCTGACTGGTTAAGTTCATGCGCTCCGCTGCAGGTGGCCCAGTGTTTCATTGGTTCGAAGCCTGGGCACGGACATGGCACTGCTCATCAAACCACGCTGAGGCAGCATCCCACATGCCACAACTAGAAGGACCCACAATGAAGAATATACAACTACGTACCAGGGGGCTTTGGGGAGAAAAAGGAAAAAATAAAATCTTTAAAAAAAAAAAAAAGTAATACATTCACCATAGGAAATATGGACAGAAATAGAAGGAAAAAATCGCCTTTAATTCTCCCACCCAGAGATACCCTTTCCAGTCTGTAGTTCCTGTATTTCTTTTTCTTGTCCTGTTGCACTAGCAAGCACTTCTCCCATACCGTGTCCAATGGGAGTGCAAGATAAGACATCTTTTTATTTTGTTTTCTTCCAATGTGGCTACTAGAAAGTTTGTGTGGCTCACATAATTGTTTCTATTGGACAGCATGCTGCTGGCCCAGGATAGGAGTCAGCAAACTTTCTGTCATAAAAGGTCAAGCAGTGTTTTTGGCTTTACAGGCCATATGGGCTCTGTCATAACTTCTCAATTCTGCTGTTGTCATATGAAAGTGGCCACAGACAACATGCAAACAAGTGTGGTTGTGTTACAGTGAAACTTTATTTACAAAACTAGATGCCTAGGTCTAGATTGCATCTTCACCTGACAAATCCCTTAGAGAGAACCCTAACCACACCTTTGACATCTGTGCCCTCCTGACTCTCACAGACAGGGGCGCTGCCCAGCAGGAAATCCAGGCCTGCCAGATGCCAGAGGCACAGAGGGAGACAGAGCATTCAGGAACTTCCTTTTCTTCCTTCTCAGTCTGACTTTCTGCCCAGAACCTACTGATCATGTTTCCTCCTCAATCTAATTCTCAAAGAAAGAAAAAAAAAGACGCAATAGATGAAAGTCTCAGTGGCCTGTTTTGGAAATACTAATACAGAGGTCGACACAGGCCAGCTCACACATCCTCACTCCTGTTTAAACGTAGCCCATCAAGTTAATACAGCGCAGAATTCCCGCTGTTCCATTTGGGAAGACACTTCACTGTGACTCAAGTCTCTAAGGCAGTGGCCTCTTCCTAGGGGGTCCCAGTGTTTGGGAGGTTGTCTAATATCTCAAAATCTAACTGACAATACACATTTCCCTACCAAACAGATGCTCCAGATAGCTACAATGCCAATTTCTATTTTCATTTATTTATCATTGTTTTGGGCGTGATAACACGGATTATTTCCCAGGAAAATAAATTATCTGTAAACTATTGGCATAACTCAGTCATGAGTTAACGCCTGCACTGAAGACCTACCCTGCCCCAGTCACTTTGTTAGACCTAAGAGATCACTCTAAGACAGCTCATGACTCCAAGATGCACAAAATAGAGTAAGGAAAGCAGATGTAAGCAAAACAATTACTGTGCAATGTTAACTACTGTAAGAGAGAGAAGGCGCAGCATGCTGGGAAAGATAACATCTGACAGTTCAGAGCAGAGGTCGGTCAGTGCAGCCCGCAGGACAAAGCCAGCTCCCTGGCTGCTTGCAGTTTTGTTGGCACACGGCCACGCTCTTTTGTTCATGTGTTAAATACGGCTGCTTCTGTGCTATGGCTACACCAGCAGAGTCGAGGATTTGTGACAGAGATCTAACAGCCCCAAAGCTGCAGATATTTACTCTCTGGCCTCTCACAGAAAAAACTTCTCACCACTGGTTTAGAAGGATGTGCAAGATTCCTCATGGAGGATACAAAAATAGGAAGGCCACCCCAGACAAAGGGGACAATATGCACCTGGACAGGGACACCTGACGGAGTGGGGTGTCTGGTGCATTCTGTCTCAACAGAAGTTAACACGAAGCACAGGTGTAGGGGAGCTGGTCAAGCTCGATTCAGAGGAGCTGGGAGGCGACACTTGGCCCTGGGACAGGAGTCAGAGAAAGGTGTCATGCCAGGGAAATGTACGCAGATGTGCATTCGAGAACTATCACTCCTGGAGCGCCTCTGAAAGCTGAGCAGTGTGCTGGCTCAAGGCTGGGAAACCCCGGATAGGTTTAGCACAAGCTTCTCAGCAGGCAGGAGGAGGCCCTGAACCCAGGTGCTGGGCATCAGTGGAAAGGAATCCTTCAGGAGCTAAACATCAACTGAACTTACAGGTCACACTGACTGCATCTGTGGAATAAAGAGAGTCTAAAATGAGCCCAAGATTTCTGGCTTCCCTAACAGCGGGGTCACCAAAGTGAGGAAATACACAAGTTGGAAATTTAAGTTGAGAGATAAGATGTGGGGTCACCTTTGAACTCACTGTTTGAGGTGTGGAGATATTTAAAATGAAGTTGGGTTTCCCTTTAGTTTGGGCTGATAAAAAGAAGTTGTCTATCTGCATCTTGGTGTCATTACACCTGGGTGATAGTTAAAATCGAGGGAGAAAATTCAAGGTCCTAGCATGAAAAGATGGCCAAGAACAAAGATGGACAAGGGCACCCTGGGATAGATCACCCAGTGGTGTCAGAGCTTGTGTTTGTTTAGTGAGTAGCCCGATTGCTGGCCACGAATGTTTTAGACAATATAAGTGACATACCCTCACCACTTCTAGCTGTCCTTTCCGCTGGCTTTCAGATTCCTGGGAATTATTATGCGTCACGCGGATTGCTGGAGACACCAGCTATGGTGCTGAAATTTCCTGCCTCCACTTTCTCGCTCATGCTCCTCAACTCATTCCCACCAACCAAACCAAACCTCCTCTCCCCAGAGTCCCCATTAATAACGTGTTTTCTTACTGCTCATTTCCCTGGGTCTTTCTGTAAGATTAAACAGTCCTTACTAGTTTTCACTTGTCTTGAAAGCCTGTCTTCCCCGGGCGACACTGTCTCAGTGACTCTCTGCCCCAGGACTGGTTCTGTCTCCTGCCCCTAACTGGGGTGTCCTGATTCCAACCTTGGCCCTCTGCTCTGCCCTCCAGGCACAAGGACGCTCTCTCCTCTGAGATCTCGTCCATTCTCCAGCTCTCTCTCCAGATGATGCTCATTATACCTTATCTATACCTTACAATAATTATTTATATAATTAACGTAATAATTTTAATCATCTCCTGTAACAAAAAACTCCCGGACACCATGACGATGTCTTATTTATCTCTGAATCTCTGCAGCACGAGTGCAGCAGACACGTAAAACAAGGGTGAAACGGCCCTTTCCTGTCTCATCTGTCTTACCTACCATTTGATCTATCCCCTGTTCTATTTCATCTATTATTTTATGCATTCTCTGTTCCATCTGGCACCGGGCATCAACAGCAGGCACCTAGGCTCCAGACTCAGAGAGCTCCCGCTTCTCTCTCTTCCACCTTTGCTTCTTCCTTTCATGTTTCTCAAATTTCCCATCCTATTTCGCTAGAATGGCATCCCAATTAACTCATAGCCGAACATTTTCAAAAGATTCATATAAAAGAGATAAGCACAAAACATTAAAGAGAGACAGAAGGATCTTTTTATAAAAAGAAGGGTGCTGGTTGATTGCCACGGGCAAGTGTTAGATTTCAAACATCTCTGGTTGATCCATAAACCAGGATCCTTTATGGACGGTGCTGACTGCCTCCTCACGTTCTGGTACCAGGAGCAGACACGCTGCAAATCTCTCAGGAAGGACAAGTAACCTGCCCAAGGCACAGAGCCACACTTATATGCCCCTCACCCCTTGATCAGCCCTACCAGGCTACGTGGCTCTCCAGATTCAGGTTGGTTTTATGCTCCTGGGGTGGGGAGGCCACTTTTCAAGGGACCAAATCCAGACATACGCATAGTTAAGACAATCCCTAAGTTTTCCCAGAAAGTCTTTTTGACCTCTAGGCCAACCTGAAATTCTGACATCATAACATAGTCACATAATGTAATTATAGTTCCCATTCTCCTTCAGGATGCTATGAACACACAGAGTACCAAATAGAAGGAAGGGCTGACCAGCAAGCACCAGAACCGACGAAACAGGATGTGATTAAGACAACATTGTCACATATTTCAAAGTAGAAAACCTTCCTTGTTTCTTTGATTCCAGGAAGAGGAGGAAAAGGAAGTAGTGTGTAACTGTGAAGCCCAGCAATGACTTTAAAATATATAAACTGGGGAGACGAACCATAACGACCCAAAACATGCTCAAACTTATTTTCTAAAGGATTTTAAAATAACAAGTCAAAGATATATTACTTGGAAAATGATTTCTCTAGTCTACACACAATTTCAAGTGACTTTATCTTGCTTTATTCTGTCACTTTATTGATTTAACAAATATTAACTGAGCACCTACAATGTAAAAGAAACGTGTGAGACGAAAAATGAACAAAAACTAGCTTCTGATTCCAGGAGTTTATCAGCAGGGAACAGAAAGCACTACCAACTGTTATACAAACTGGCTCAGGTGTCTTAGGTCAGGTACGCAAGGGGACTAGAAGAGATGAGCAGGGCTCCTGGGCCGGGAGGGAGGGAAAGCTCCTGGAACCTCAGCCGAATCTAACACCAGCCAGGCATCAGGCCCCACCCTGGGCGTGAGGAATATACAGATTAGTAAGATGGAAGGCATTCAACTTTGTGATAGAAATGACTATTAATAGCTGGTACCTAACAACTTAGCGCTCACAGCCACAGCAGAAGCTAGGTTCTATCAGAATCCCCATTTTAAACGTTCACAGTCGCATCTTCAAAAAAGGCTGACACACACGACAGTAAAACTATTGAGGGAGCGTAAAACAATTACTAAGTGAAGGGAAAGGGTAGCTCTCCAGTGGAGTCACACAGGTGGCACTTGATGTCCAAGCCTCCCTTCTCAGCCTTCCTTTCAATCGTGCCCCTCCCCCAGCCCCTGAGGTCCTCGACCTACGAGTGGCCTCAGAAATTGGGGACCAGGCATCTGTGGTTGTCAATGACTGAAAGCACCAGGGATACTGGTTAAGTTAACTGGTTCAGTTAAGAAGTTGTCACTGCAGGTAATGTCCACAAGCCAGCCCGAGACACGAAAACAGACCTCAGAACCTACGGAGAAGGAAGGAGCGGGGACAGGCGTCCATGTGAAATTACGACCTGGACATGTGACCACCCCAGGAGAGACTTCAGAGAGGCAGCAGGAGGTCACAGAGAAATTCCTAACATCACAAGGGCTCCCAGGGGGTCGCATACAACCCAGGACATCGTCAAGGTCAGAGCCAGCAGGACGGCGAGGCCACAGCAGCATGTCTGACAGGATCTCCCAGTGGGTGGAGAGGAAACTAGAAAAATCAGTGGACTTAAAGTCTTTGTAGGAATCAGGATTAAGACAAGAAATTCTTGCTTTTCCAGCAATGTAAAAATAAATTTAAAAGAGAGGCCATGAGAAGAACAAACCAGAATTATGAAAACCTGCAAAGAAATAAAGAAGTATTTAAGATTCAGAACCTGGATGAGGAGCCCAGTCAGTCTCACCCCTCAGGGCTCAGGCTCTGCCACAAGAATCAAATGTGCTAATACGTGTCAGCTCTCAGAAAACTGTGTGGCACAAAGTAATCACGATAAACCCAAAACCCAGCCCAGCCCAGGCGGTCAGAACCTTACCTATGATTTTCAAGTTCCTTTGTTTCGGCCACTGAGGAGGCCATTCTCCCAGCTGAGGCAGGACCCTAGCAGAAAACAACACAGAAGAATGTTAAAAAAGAAACTGAGGGGGCCACTCCGTGGCTGAGTGGTTGGGTTCGCCCACTCTGCTTCAGTAGCCCTGGGTTCACCAGTTCAGACGCTGGGCACAAACCTAGCACCACTCATCAGGCCGTGCTGTGGTGGCATCCCACATAAAAGAACTAGAATGACTTACAACTGGGATCTACAACTATGTACTGGGGCCATGGGAAGAAAAAAAAAAAAAGAGGAAGACCAGCAACAGATGTTAGCTCAGGGCCAATCTTCAAAAAAATTTAAAAAAAATAAACTGAGGCATATTAAAAATGTTAAGAGTGTATTTGAGCACAAATCAATTTGAACCGGGCAGCACCAAACTGGCAGTGGCCATCAGGAGCGCTCTGCCATCAGGGGCTGCGGAGAGACTTACAGCAAGATAGTGCAGAAAGCAATCACTGATTGGCTGCAGCTTGAAGCCCAATTGACTATTTGAGGCTGGTCACCCTTAACGTTTTGATTTTGTAAACTTGAGGTATTTACAGGCTCAGATTTTGGTTTGCTGACACAGGCCGCCTCGGCATCGGAGGCCCCTCAGTCTAGTGGTCTTAGTGTTTAATTAATTTAACACTAGTGAATGCCCCCAGTAGAACCAAGGTCACTCTGACATCGAGGCTGTGCTAACCTATGGAAGGTCAGTGGAATCAAGTGGAAGTCTTTAGACATTTACACCACACGTATGTCTGTACACACCCATGACTTAGAGAGTTGCTAATTTCAGAGAGGAGCTAGCAAAAACATGCCAAAAACCAAAGAGGGTTGGCACCTCATACTTGGGTAGAAAACCTTTCCTCACTTCCAGGCTTGCCAGCCAAGGCCGCCTTGACCCAAGAGAACACCCCAGCTGCCCCGCCCTTCTAGAATCTTGACCATCCTCCTTCAGGTCTCAAGGACAGCTCAGGGCAAAAGCACCAGCTCTCAAGAACATGTCTTGGAAAGAGAGGGACCTAAGATAGGTCTGACTCAACCCTCCGCCCTGCCAGCACTCCAAAGCCAGAGACAGGAAAAACCACATAGACATGACCCAGTGATTTGACTGGGGTTCAGCAATCAGCACACTGACCTAAGGACACATCTCTGTGTGGAGAAGGGCAGAGCTGAGCCAGAGCACCAGCAGGTGAACTCGTGAGAGTCCCTGAAAGCCTTGTACCTGCCAGGCTCCCAGTTCCCCCAACAGCCTGGCGGGAAGGGCGCAGTCCGCTTTAGACAGGAAAGTGAAGCCAGGGTTTGGCAATGCAGGTGAGTGGAGTCTGCAGCATGCAGCGAGGCCATTACTCCCAGGACAGGTTCCCAACCAGCCACCAATGAAAAAACTATAGCCCACCAAGCTAAAACGCCAAAGGCCCCTTTTTGGAGAAAGGGATTTATAACTGTTATTACCACAGTTAAATACTGACCATTTTTAGCAAATTCTGAAAAACACAGGATCTTATAAGAAGTGGGTCTGGAGGGGCTGGCCCGGTGGCACAGCGGTTAAGTTTGCACGTTCCGCTTCTGCGGCCCGGGGTTCGCCAGTTCGGATCCCAGGTGTGGACACGGCCCCGCTTGTCCATATGCAAGCCATGCTGTGGCAGGTGTCCCACATATACAGTAGAGGAAGATGGGCATGGATGTTAGCTCAGGGCCAGCCTTCCTCAGCAAAAAGAGGATTGGCAGCAGATGTTAGCTCAGGGCTGATCTTCCTCAAAAAAAAAAAAAAAAAAAAGAAGTGGGTCTGGAACAAAAACTTTCCTGCAATTGCTACCTTGTCTCTCCTCACCTGACTTTGTCCTCCCTGGCATTTACAGACACCACTCTTTTGAAAATGCCAGCCTCTCTTAGTCCAGCTAAGGAGAGCTGAGGCAGGGAATGAGGCTTGAAAGAGGTACCAGCCCTCACCCCACACCACCAGAGCCACACGACAAACACGTGCAGAGGGGAGGGGGGAGAAGCTGGGGGCAGTGAGGGCAGCGGTTCCCCATGATGCCTGAGGGAGGGACCCAGGGTCATAGACTTCTGGTCTATGATATTCTGAGTAAATATCATATTTATATAATATTATATATATTATATATTATATTTGGTCTCCATCCCTTTCTGGCTCATGCTCCCAAAACCCAAGGAATTTCCTTTGTTGAGAGTGATAAAAAGTGTCTTTTGTTATGTTATGAGGCACCAGGATACTGCGGGTTGCCAGGGAAACCAGCCTGCAATTAAGAGAGGTGGAAATTTCAGTCCCACCCCCTGACCTCCAGGGAGGGGAGGGGGCTGGAAGCTGAACTGATCACCAATGGCCAATGATTTAATCAATCATGGCTCTGTAATGAAGCCTCCAGAAAAATCCAAAAGGACAGGGCTCAGAGAGCTTCCAGGTTGGTGACTACGTGGAGATTCGGGGAGAGTGGCTCCGAAAGAGGGCATGGAAGCTCCATGCCCTTTCCCCATATCTTGCCCTCCGCATCTCCACCATCTGGCTGTTCCTCAGTCATAGCCTTTTATAATAAACCGGTGATCTAGGAAGTAAAATGTTTCTCTGAGTTCCATGAGCTGCTCTAGCAAATTAATCCAACCCAAGGAGGGGGTCAAGGGAACCTCTGAGCTACAGCAGGTTGATGAGAAGCACAGGTGACAATCTGGACTTTCGAATGGAGTCTGAAGAGGGAAGAGCAGTCTTGTGGGACAGAAGCCTTAACCTGTGGCATCTGATGCTCTCTGCAGGTACAGTGTCAGAATTGAGTTGAACTGTAGGATGTCAGCTGATGTCAAAGAACTGCTTGGTGGTGTAGGGAAAACAAATTGGAATTTTAATTGGTGATCAGAATCTAAGGTCACAATTTGCCTTCAGCATCCATCAAACAGATGTACAAAGACATCCCAGCTTCTGAAGAAGTCTGGTTTCCAGGAAACACAACCATCAGCAGCAGCACCCTGCAGTCCCTGGCTCTGAGCTCTCTCTGGGGTCCCACCTGTCCTAGCCCTGCCAAGGTCGTGGGGAGTGGGCTGCATATTCTACGTGCAGATAGCATCCTGGGCAGCCAGCCCACAGACCTCCTTGTTGGGCTTTCACTTCTCCACTGAGAAAAGAAGTAGTGCCTGGGGTCACGCAGAGTCACGGTCCCCAGGGCCACTTTCTGTGGGGCAGGCAATGTTCCCCAGTACAAGCAATACGTGCTCACAGCAACCTCCCCCGGCAATCTGTACCTTCCAGCCTGCTCTTTCTTCCTTTGGGCATGGGGAGCTAGAAAGACAAGAGTTAGAAGCGCCTTGCTGCAGGCAGCAGTGAATCAGAGAATGCACAGTACTCCCCAGAGAGAATCCAAGCCTTATTTTCCAGCAAAGGAAACCAAGCAGCAGAGAAGGGATCTGCCCTGCAGAGAAAGTGTCACTCCGGACCTGGCTGCTTTTCTTGCCTCTGTACCAGAGAATCCTTTTCCCTGCCCTGGCCTTTACCTCCTCGTGCTCCTTCCTGAGTCTGCTCCATGCCTGCTTCCCCCGCATTCCTGGCACTTGCCAGCGCTCTCCTCCATGCTATGAGCCTCCCCTAGACTTACTCTGCCCCCGCTCGGAGTGGGTGGCTTAGGTCCTGCACTGTGCAAGGCTTTCTTTAACCAACTCTGTGCAGAGAGAATGGCAGACTTCTGCAATGCTCTTTTGCAAAGCTCCCCATTAAATAACTTAGGATGTTCGCACGTGCAGTTGATGAGGATTATTTTGGGCTGGTTACTTTTAAAAACTGCAGACGGGAAGGAGGCTCTGAGGAGTAGAATTTGCTTGCCCTTTGTTGGGAGACATTCACATCTGTAAGGGAGATCTCCACCTGTAGGGGTGTCTCCCTCTCTGCACCAGAGGAAGGGGGGATGACCTTATCTCTAGAAACTCTTAATGGGGAGGCAAGGACTTAAGTCTGCATAGTGATCTTGCTCTTCTTTATTGAGCTTGTCTGGTAACCTCATGTTACCGTCCACCACCAACATCCTCCGGGAAGCATAGGACGTGATGACGTAATCCGGTCCGATTCTTATCTAAAGTTATAGGACCACTCAACAACCAGACCCCACCAGCACTGATACCATTTAATGACTTTTTACATCATCTTTCCTTTGTCTTGTAAAGAAATAACTCACACACCTATGTCTTATAAATTTAGCTCTAACCCTCAACACATTGCAGCTCTTACTGCCCATGGGTCCTGTCCCCATGCTGTTCCACACTATCCTCTGAATAAAAGAGCACTACTGTCAGACCTTGAGAGTCCAAGAAATCTTTCTTTCAACTCCTTGACTCACCGAGCCTGCCTCACAGTGACCTCCCAGGCAGTTTGTCGCCAGGGGAGCCATGGCACAATTAGTAGAACCATGTTTCACTCTTAAAAAATGTGGGTGTGCAGGATAAATCATAGGATCACCCCACCCACCCACTGAGAGGTCAAAGATGGGACGGAGGTGAAGGAAGTCTCTCACTTCTCAACATACTTCCCCGTAGACCAGTGGAGCAGAGGGTGGGAACCAAGAGCCAGTCCACCCTGGAGGGCAGGCTGCTTACTCACCCAGACTTGCTCCTCTTCCAGAGGCCCCCCTCCCTGCTGCCCCTGAGCTGAAGGCAGGCTGGTGGTAGGGAGCAGGTATGTAAAAGGAGACCCTGGTGATGATTCAGGATGAAGTAATAACAATTCAGGGACACAGTGACGTCTGAATTTGAAAAGAAGTTTTCAAGTTAAAAAAAAAGGTGAGTAAGTCTACACTTTTTCCAGTCTTCAAAGGAATCAGGAAATATATCTAGTGAGTGTTGCAGTCCCTGTAGTACTGAGGCCAAACTTTGGTCCAACAGGGTTTAGTGTAGGAGAGGGGTCCCTGCACTCAGCATCCACCGCCATCCATGCAACTCCAGGTCACAACTTAAGGCCCAGACAAAAGGCCTCCTCAAGGCCCTTTCTCAGCCACAGGAGGGAACCCGAGGGAGTGCCCCCTGT